AATAATCTCTTGATCGTTCAGGAGACCACTCGTGGCGACACCATGATCAGTTGCGATGTAGTCCTGAAAGGTCACATCTGTTGGAAGGACAGCATCGAAAGTCGGGCAGTCATCGTTGGTGGCCTCGGCTGACACCTCCTCGATCAAAACCGCTGTGCCGAAAACAGTTGGCGATGACTTGCGGCAGAGTGTTTTTTCACATGTGGGCGATGATGTGCACTGCGCCGAGTAAGTCCACTTGATACAACTTTCCAGCTTCTGAGCATAAGATCATTCGCTCTAGCAGGTACTTGCGGTACTTCGACTTCACGTAGTGAATGATATCCTGGTCCATCGGCTGAAGAGCAGACGTAGTGTTGGGCGGCAAAAAAACTACTTTGATGCTCTTCAGTTCGACTGTACAGTTATGAGCACCAAAGTTGTCAACAACCATAATTATCTTGCGGTCCTTTGATGTGAAGTGCCAGTCCAACTGCTGCAGCCAGCCGCGAAAAATGTCCGATGTCATCCATGCCTTCCTGTTCGCTGTGTACTCGACAGGAAGGCTTTTGACGTTAAAACAACGTGGCTTAAGCGCCTTCCCGACGACAAGTAGTGGCAAGCGCTCCGTGCCAGTCATATTGGCGGCAAGAAGCACAGTTATCCTTTGCTTGCACTTCTTGCCACTAATGCACGCGTCCCCTTTGAAAGCCACCGTCTTGTCGGGCAGAGCTCTGAAAAATAGAGCAGTTTCATCTGCATTGAACACGTCACGTGGTTCATATGCGGCGATGTGCTCCAGCAGCTTCACATTTCTCCACTCGGTGGTCACGCTTTCGTCAACACTGGCCTTTTCGCCGCACAAACTCCTGAAGACAAGTTCGTGTCTCTCTCGAAACCTCGCAAACCACCCTTCTGACGTTTTGAACGATTCAGTGTTCATCATTGCAGCGTACTTCTCACCTTGCGCCATGATGAGAGGTCCGCTCAAAGGCAGATGCGCATTGCGACAGTCATTAACCCACCGGAGCAAAGCTTCTTCGAGCTGGGGATGAGCTGCGGTTCGCAACCGCTTTCTAGAGGCATGAAACTTCTCGCTTTAGAAGGCTTGTCGAATCTGTTGTTCAGTTTTCACATACGTTCCCAACGTGCTCCGCTTCACGTTGTACTTGATCATAACCTGCAGTCGGGATTCGCTGTTCTTCAGTGCTTCCAAAATTTCCACTTTAGTCGCCAAGTTCTTCGCGTCGTAGTTCTGCCGCTTTTTCGGCATTGCCATCACTGTAGCGCACGATGGTGGTGGCATGCAAATACGGTCACAATGGAAGAAAAAGAGAACTCCGCAAGAAGAGATGGTTCCGACACGACAACACAAGGGAAAATGGCGTCGGAGGCGCTGAGTGGAGAAGAAAGACGACGCCGACGTTCGGTGACGCTGCGATCGCCCCCACTAGTTGATGATGATGGCGATGCCACTCAGGTTTCGGTTTCTCTCCAGTGGTGCCAGCGCTGCTTTATCACACTTTTGTGTAGCAGCAGCCGTCAGCATTTGTCCGAATTAAGCGGTGCAGAGCCGAATTCCAACGAAATAACGAAGCATTGGTGCCATAGATTAACATGCACTTTGGCCGGGACCAATAGAGCCGTCCGAATTATCCTAATTTCCTAATTAACGGATGTCGAATTAACGAGCTTTTACTGTATTTCAGTGCAAATTGAACAGGAAACACTATATGAGAAATATTATAAGTTTGGATATTTGAACACCCATGGTACAAACTCTTAGAAGTCGTTGAAATAGAAAAAAATGCACTCGGCAAATGGCTATCTTTTCTAGTGAAAAACACATCCGGGACGACATGTGCCATAGGTAAAGCCACAAGGGCACCAGTGTTTTGAATTGTTTGTTCACACTGCCTATAAGTTGTGCCTTCTCACCTAATCTGTTTCTTACCCTATGGGCTTGTCGCATTTTCAAGGCTGGTAATCCTGTGTTAAAAGTCAGTATGGTTGCTCTTCGTGTCAAATTGTGTAAGCTCAGAGTGCCAGTTAACCACGCCTATTCAAATCGATTACGAGTGATCGACGCTCTGGTTCGTCAACTTTGGCATGTTAAATTTTGTTCTCGTGGACCCAGACTTTTTTAGTAGTTAGTCCAGTCACTCGACTTTCAGAATAAATTTGATTTTGCCCGTTTTGGCCACATAGTATTTTCGAAAGACGTTTGCTTGAACCAATGTGTATGTGTTGTTGGAAAAAAGCACTAGGCTGGCAAACTTGACAAAAGTGCGTGCCCCTTGTGAATATGCAACAGTAGCATCGAATGTCCCTAATCAAAAGAATCTTTGCAAGCCAAATATCGAAATAAAGAGTCAGCTTTGCAATTCGATAGAGTTGAGCAGTAGTAAGTGCCTGAAATTTATGCCACCTATTCAATAATGAGCTGTTGTGGGGAGTCGGGCAAAATTTATTCTACAAAAGATATTTCTGAAGGTCCGTCGTATGTTAAACTCTTTCGTTACCACGCCTATTCAAATCGATCACCTGTGATCGAAGCATTCGGATCTTCAGTGTTGGCATGTTAAATTAGTTTCTCGCGCTTCCAGCACTTTCTAGTAGTTAGTCCAGGCACTCAACTTTCAAAATCAATTTGAATTTGCCCGTTTCGGCAACACAAGATATTTGACAAACCTTTGCGTAAACCAATGTGTGTGTATTGTTCAAAAAGTGCACTAGGCTGGTGAACTTGACAGAAGTGTGTGCCTTTTGTAATTATGGTACAGTAACATCAAAGTTCTGTAATGAAAACAACCTTCGCAAGCTGTATATCAAATGAAAGTGTTAGCTTCGCAGTTTGACAATGTTAAACAGTAATAATTGCCATAATATTATCAAGATATTCAATAGAGAGCTGTTACTAGGAATCAGGGAAAATTTCTACAAAAAATATATGCCAAGGTCTACTGTGCATTTTAAGTGTCGAAATGGCTCTCTGTGACAGTTTCCAGCAGCTGTAGTTTTGCTTGTATTGTTGAATCAGGCACAGGGTTGCATCTATAGTGTCATTAGTCGCTCCTATGACGCCATCGTCACGCACGCATAGGTGTGCACCAGCGCTGCAAAACCCCTCCGCTCGTCAAAGCACTCTTGTTACCCGACCTGACTTGAGTTAGGATAAGCTTCGAGTTCGAAGATGACAGCACCTCAGCTTCAAGTTTAATGACTATGATGTTTTGCGTCAGCCTGAGACATCTGCAGCCATTCATGGGTTCGTTTTGTATACATCCTCAAGCTCTATCTTCCGCCACAACTGCGTATAGCTTCTGACCTTTGTGCATAATCATAGAGCATATAAGCCCTTGTAATAAGCTTTTAAGCTTAATAAAATGAAGAATTGATTTGATTGATTGACATGGGGGTTTAACATCCGAAAACCACCATATGATTATGAGAGACCCCGTAGTGGGCGCTCCGGAAATTTCGACCACGTGAGGTTCTTAAACGAGCACCCAAATCTGAGACACTGGCCTACAGCATTTTCGCCTCCATCGAAAATGCAGCCGCCGCAGCCGGGATTCGATCCCGCTACTTGCGGGTCAGCAGCCGAATACCTTAGAGTCTAGACCACCGTGGCGGGGCGAGGAATTGATTTGGGGGTAATAGGTTCATTTAAAGAGACCCTCCAACACTTTTTCAAGTAGCCAGGGAATGGATTCACTAAAGTAATTTACCGCCACAAGCATTTTTAGAATCCGTTCAGTATGAGCGAAGTTGAAAAGATTTGTTTCACACTGCAATTGTATTGTCTCTTCTTGTCCCGACAGAAGCGCTGGAAGCTCAGCCGGGAGGGATGCCGTGGAGAAAGATAATACGTTACGTGTCCCTCATGACCTTTAGCACTTTTTCTCCTTTTTTTTTCTTCGAATATGTGGCTTTGTGGACAAGGGGCGGCCCCAGGAACAACCGAGCGCACCATGTTATAATCAGTCCATGGCTGATACAATCGCTGTGACCAGTGATTTTTGAGTTGTGGTGTCATTTGCAGAGAGAAAAAAGCAATTTTTAGCTTACTTTGAGATTTATTGTCAATTGCAGGCCACATGCTGCGCTATAACATTTGGCTCGCGTTTTCTGGTTTGCCTCAACTACCGATGGGCAGCGTTTTTTGCTCAAAAACCTGCTCAAAAAGAATTGCAGGTGGCCTTTTGAACTTGAAGGGAGCTTCCTGGCCGGGCAGATTTCTTTTGTTGAGCTGTTTTCACGGCTTAGCACTTTAACACTGCAGTGAATCCATCTTTATAAGTGGTTACATGCAGATTAATGTACACCCATTTGTTTATGCAAATGCTTTGAAATTTTCAACAATCTGAATTTGAATTGGAGGAAATTTCGAATACTCTACTATTCATTCAAGTATTCGAAACATTTGAATATTTGCACAAGCTTGTTCCAGAGGCATTTTAGTCTGCTTCGCATTGCATTGTATGAGAATGATGTGTATATTTGCAACTGAACAGCACGTTTCCCAATGCATTGGATCTTTTGAGAATTGACCGGAGACTGGCAGAAAATGGTGTAGATTCCCAGAGCTTAACTATATGTTTCCTCAGTGCACTTCTTGTACTAGGCAGCCAGGACATGTTATTACTACAAAATATAGCCTTTAAGATTCCAAGTCACTGTCACTGCGGTGTCAGTTTATGAGAATAGTAATAAAAGTGTGGCAATGTTGGCCAACAGGTCACGCCACCTGTCACTTATCAGGGCACGTAAACATCACCACAAAAACTAATTGTGGCAAGGCATAGTTCGATTCTAATTACCTGTGGTGGATTGCATTTGCTCATCAACCAACAAGTTTTTTGATGCATGAAGTTCTCTCTAAAGTTTCGCCGACCCATGAAAGTTTGCTCAAATTGAGGAGGTGTGGATTGGCAAGCTTTTACATCCTACAAACCGCATTGTGCTTTCCTGAAGTTTCGGCTCCTGTACTACAACTGTGTAATGGGGTCACACTGCAGCTGGACTTGGAGATGTCATTTGCCACTGCAGAAGACGTCATGCAGCTCACGGAATCCCTGCTTGTAGCCGCTTGGCTTCGGCCGCCTCTGGCTGCAAAGCATAAGCAAGAGCCGGATCGAGAAGGTGCGTTCTGCTTGCAGAAGCCATTTCCAATCATGACATACGCTGAAGCGGTGCAGCGGTACGGCACTGAAAAGCCTGACCTGCGACTGACTGGCATGCTGGTAAGTGTACACGCACACTTTTGCCAGTGCTTGCAATGCACTAGATGTAGAAACACTTGTGAAGGGAGATGGCCACGCTGGTACAGTCAAGTGTGGTCAATATCAAGATTTGAACAGGTCCATGAAAACCTTGAAAAGCTTTGAATTAGAAAAGTGTATTTTGAAGGCCCTTGAAGGTCCTGGAATAGTATTCTTCCTTGAAAACCCTTGAAATTTGGGGAACCTTGAATTTTCTGGCCTGCACATAATGCAATATTCAGTGATCCCACTTCTGTTCGAAAGTGCACCAAATAAGATTTACTGCACCATCCTCATGATATCAATGACAATTGTGCCAAACTGCGCCAAAGTCAGATTTAGGAGCGTTTATCACCGGCAATAACCACGCTGGCGGGTCTGAACATGTGAATCTTGTTCTTGAGGCAACCAAAGTCACAATCGCGTGCATAGAAATATTCCGCCGAATTAATAGCGGGTCTGCGTGCATTCTAAGTAATCCACGATGCTATGTTTGGTATCAAAACAACTTCTGTTGTGCAAGTCTGCTTTAATAGTGAAACGGGCTTTCCGCAGGAGCTTGTGACGTTTAATTCAATCAGTGCATGAAACTGTGGCGGCGATTCGTCGGTGGACTTCTAGATATCCCAATCTAATTTCCCGCGCTTCGTGTCTACAGAAGAACATGTGCACAGTGGAAGTGTGTTGACACTTTTCCTTTAATATACGTTATGCCTGGATCTTCATTCAGAAGTTCATTTTTGTGATTCCTTCTACCAGGACATCGGCGTTTGTAATCTCTGTTGTGGTTGATTGATATGTGGGGTTTGGCGTCTCAAAACCACCATATGATCATGAGAGACGCCGTAGTAAAGGGCTCCGGAAATTTCGACCACCTGGGGTTCTTTAACGTGCGCTGAAATCTGAGCACACGGGCCTACAACATTTCCGCCTCTATCAGATATGCAGCCAGGATTGAATCCCGCGACCTGCGAGTTAGCAGCCGAGTACCTTAGCCACTGGACCACCGCCGCGGGTCAATCTCTGTTGTAATAAAAGCTCCTAAAACACCCTGCCATTTCGACCTCGAGATTGTTAGGGTTCATATTTAAAATTTTCCCATGTTTTTTTTTATGTCATCTCATTATTAGAAGCATGTTTTTTGGTTGTAGCAGCCGAAATTCAGTCTAATTACGTGTAGCTTTCAATAGGGAGGCGGCGGCTATGCGGTTGAAAGGCCCATGGTGAAGTGGCTATGCCTTCATACACGCTCACCTTTCGGTTTCCAAGGTCAATAGCTGACGGTTAAAAAAAAATTAAACACCACGTCATCGCATTCATTGCTTCGTTTTTTTTAGGGTGTGGGTGGGGGAGGAAGCGACAGATGCATTGCTTGAAGGGCGCATTCGCGAGCGTGCTGTCTCAAGGCCTAATGAGGCATGCTCGTAAACTTTCTGTGCTACTATAACCTTTGCTTCACGTTTCGATAACTGACAGTGCCAAAACTGCTTTGGCAATTCGAGTGATCATTGTCCTTTAGCCAGCATCCAACTGAGTTATGAGACGTCATGTCCAAAAAATACTATTTGTTAGTTTCACTTAGGTTGTTAGCAATGAATTTGATACCAATAGTATGTTCGTATTGAGAGTACAAGATAGAAGGGTAAAACAGAAGTCTATAATGGCTACCGAATTAGCGTGAATGCCAGTGACCACACCCAAAGTTCATAACTCCCTCCTCCCTTGCATTCCTATTTTCTCCCTGCTTTCTGAAGATGGGTGACGCATTTCTCTCTGCTTGAATAACAATCGATGGCAGGCCTGGCACACGGGGTGATGCTATCGCATCTGCACTCCGTGTAAAGGAGGTAGGTTGGCTCTTTTATTATATGGACCGTCTCGGCTGGTGTTTTCCAGTCGCCACCGTCATTCACCATATATGTATACGTATCTATCATATTTACTTGCATAATCCTCGCACTTTTTTTGCCGGAAAACCGATGAAAAGTTGGGGGGTGCGAGAATTATACGAGGAAAACGTACAGAGCGAAAAATAAAACGAAGTGGCCGCAAATCGGGATTCTCACACCAACAACTAACAGCAAGTTTTTAAGAAGTACTAATTAAAACTTACCTCAACAATATAAGCAGACGTTCAACACAAGACAAGATTAAATTGAGACACAAAAAGTGAAAGCAAATAGTCGAGAATTAGAATACCATACGCAAAGCTTGCAGACGTTGCGGGCGTAGTGGTAGCGTTCGTCACTCAACAGGAGCCCTCAAAAGGTAAGCGTGGGACGTCAGTATTGGGCTGATGGCTATTTAACAGATTTGTCCCCAGTTTCCTTCTTAAGAAATAAAGTTTACCATTAATCCTACGGGCCTTCTGGTGGCCCTGTTTCCGTTCTTTAGTGCATTATCTATCACTTGCAACTTGAAAGCAGCCGTACAGCTTCAGTATCGCCTCATAACTTGACAAGGTTACCGACGCAACATACAAAACACGCCGCAACGCGCACTGGCCACTTCAGCTTCGCTTGAGTTGGATTGAATCTCTGTGCAATAGTAGGCTTGATGCTTAAGAGATGGCGCCAGATGACGTGCGCTATCATCATCAGTGGCTGGAAAGAGCAGACGACATTATTGCAGCAGTTTTCGGGGTGCGATAATTACTCGAGGAAAAAAAGAAATCGTATTTTTGTTGGGCGATGTGAGGGGTGCGAGAATTGTGCGAGTGCGAGGATTACGTGAGTAAATACGGTATACATATATGAAAAATCAAGAAAGAAAAAAAAAGCTGCCCATGCTTGGTGCCCAACTCGTCAGGATGCGCAGAGGCACGCTTATCTCCCTCGTGTACTTTGTCCCGCGAATGGGGGGGGGGGGGGGGTATAAATGCTTGTGTGCATACGCTTATCTTTCGGTGGGGAGAATTGTGTGCCTTCAGCTTTCACCAGAACGATTGCGTTAGTTGTTGGGCCCTGCACAAAGGTCACTTTGCTGGCTGTACAGGCCCTGCTTGCGAGAACAGCGTGCTTTTCATACACAGCGAAGTATAACAACTGGGACACTTGTTAGTTTAAACAGATCTATACTTGTGCCTACGTTTCGGGCATCGTCTATGGCTAAACAGCGCATTAAGTGTCGAGCCGTAAACATTGTTAGTTCGCTCTCGTCCTGTGTTTATTGTTTTCGTGTGTCATTTGTGTGTGAATAGCGTGCTGCACATTTTGATCTGCTTGCCGTTGTCAGCATTACATTCCAAGTTGTTGCTATCGCATTCATTGCTTCGCCCTTGCAGCGAAACTGTGACTTTTTTTATCTCAGCCCGCTTGTAAGACACACAATGCGTGGGAAGATGTTATCGATTGGGGTATTACACAAAGCATGACGGCAACAGCCAGTGGCATAGCCAGGTGGCGGAGAGGGGGGCACATCGGGAACGTACCCCCCTTCCTCGTCGAAATATTTTTTGCCATGGCATATATATAGCTCAATATTACCATTCACATGTCCCCCCTTCAGATCAAGATGCACTCCCCCCCCCCCCCCCCCAAATAAAAAAGCTTACCTATGCCCCTGGCGATGGCAAAAACCGGTCAAGAATGTCCTTGCGAATGCTATCGCAATAAAAACAAAATGGCTCTCGTCTTCTAGTCGTCTTAGGCATATGCATAAGGTACCCTGGGAGGTACTTTTTTCTTCATGCACTGCTTTTAAGAATACTACAGGGAGATTTTGGAGTATAAACAGAATGCCCTAGCCACATAAAACATAGCTGCGAAATGAAAACGAATTTTGTTAAATCGTTTAGTTCCAGCACAGAGAGATTAGTGCCGGAAAAAGTTTTTTCATGAGATTTGCTAAATGATATCACGTTAAGCCCAGCAGTATAATCAGTTGTGAAGGAAAATAACCTTTCTATATCATTTAAGTCTTCTAAGGGAAATGCATTTGTGATTGTGCGTGTGTCTCTAGTGTTGTGCGTCACAGCATTTGTCTACCATATATACTAATAACCACATAGGTGTACAGAATGTTCTTTTATGAATAATAATTTTATTCAACCAGTATTCTGTTTATTTGCTTCAAAAATATTTTACTGAACAAGTTTTTTCAAATCGCCAACATAATGAACCCATTATTTTTGCATCATCATTTAAAATAGGGAATGCTCCTAAGATGACTGGCTTCATGAGATTTGAAATGAATGGAAATATTTCTAGCTCTTCACTGGAGACAAGAGCCTCAAAAATAATCGTTCATGCCCTAGAATGTAATTGCAACTTGCTTCTCCTCCAGGATGTAAGTGAAGCTAGCTGCTTCAGATTGCTCCAAAATGAAAAATTTTGCTGCTCCAAAGTTTTTTAAGATGGGAAATTTCACTGCTCCAAAGTGCTACAAAATGAAAATTTTGATGCTCTAATCTGCTCCAAAATAGAAACTTTTGCTACTCTAAAGTGCTCCGAAATAAAAATTTGGCTGCTCCAAAAATTGCTCCAAATCTGAAGACCTCAGTGGCATCACTGATTATTGAACCATTTATTGATTATGTAGAAGCAGGTCCCACTATAAATTGCACTTGTTCCCGAAATTCAAGGGCTTTCAAGGAAGGCTACAATTCCAGAACCTTCAAGGGCCTGGAAAATGCACTTTTCGAATTCAAAGATATTCAAGGTTTTCAAGGATCTCTCCGAACCCTGAATGTGCATTTATCCAGGTTCTTGTTGACATAATTGAGGAAGTGTTTCACATTAGATCGTAAAAATGTCAATGCTCAACTTTCTTACACAATTGTGGCACTGAGGAAAGTAGCCCTTAGAAATCTCAACATTGCGATGCACACATGTTGCCATTTAACCCTCCCCCGTCAGTGCTTATACCAATTGATACCCTGCTGTTGATGATGATAAGTTTGAATTTCTTGATTCTGAACCATACCTGGACAGCTAGCATCATCCTGCACGTAAACAGAACACGAATGCTGCGATTTTTTGCTT